GGGGGCCGTCTAAGACTGCGAGCGGCTCGGACGTGCTCCATCGTAACTGGGCGAGCGTCCCGGCGGCGAGCGGGCACCCTTTCCGGCTCCATCCCTTCACTACCGGACCGCCCTAACAAGCCGGCCCGGCATGGACTCCGCTCCCGCGGCGAAGCCTCGGCCACTCCGTTTCTCGCCGCGCGGTTTCTCTCAGGCGCCACCGCTGCCGGGGGGGCGCTAGGTGGCGCCCGGGGGCCCCGGAGGAGGACGCTCCCCCAGGCCACAGACCCCTGGTCCGCTCCCGTCAGCCAGGTGTGGCAATGGCCACGCCTGTAGGCACAAGGGGATCTGTGCCAGGGATGCAGCGGAGCTGCAATTTAGCCTATGGGCAGGATTAATGACTATTTAATACTCCACTGGGGGGCGGGGGCCGGGTGTGGGGCAGGCCCTGGGTACCCCAAGGGAAGCCCACAATCGCAAGGGCAGGGTGAGCCCCGGGGGTAATTTCTGGGAACTGCCAGCAAAAATGGTGATGTTCCTGGAAAGCTGTGGCAAGGAAGAAGTAGCATGGGCCAGCCTTGGCACCATCTTGTTCATACTGTCTGCTGGCATAGCCAGATGTATGGACATGGCTGAAAAACAGCCAAAGGACACTAGATCATTTGGTAAAAAGAGAAATGGTATAGTGTAGTCCATAGGAACAAAACACTGAATAAAGTTAGTTGTGTACTGGGACATTTCCTAATGGGACTGTTTATTGAATTGGACTATCATGTCCTAAAAGGCACATCAGAATCTAAAACCAGAGGAAAAATGACCCTGCAGGACCCATTCCTCTGTACCCTGCACTTCAACAGCCTTTGTCAACCTCCGATTGTCATGTTGCTTGAGAACACATACTCCATGCAGTCCCTGTGATGAACAACAGTACTTGTCGTTTTAGAGACTGCAAGCATTAGTGTTTCACGTAATACTAGTGGCCAACATGCAACAGGTATCAACAAGGCGATAATGAGTTCTAGCTGGAGGTCTCCTCAGGACCTCACCCTCCATCGACCCACATGTCTCTGTGGGCTACAGCTCAGAGGCCTCCTGAATTGTTTTCTTTTCTGTTAGTAAAGAGCCTTAGAGGAAATCTTACTGTGGCCCTGAAAGCTGCCTTTTTTTCAGGAACAGGAACGGAACAAGGATGTTGACACTCTGCCAAAGTGGATTATTTTTTTGTAAATGAGGCAGAATTTGCCAGCATTTGTGTTGAGGATGTAAATTATTTTTGATAGCTTTCCAGGTCTCCTGCAGATTCAGAATGGGAAGAGAAAAGACTCCTTTTGATCAACAGATGATTGAACTCTTGGTCTGGGTAGTCAGCCTAACTTCTGCTAGAAGGGCTGGAGATACAAGAACACAGATCTGATGTGACTGCAAAGGTGCTTTGTGTGGAGAAGGGCAGTAGCAGATCTGAAAACATTCTTTTGGAGGTGGTCATTGAACGGCTCCTCTTTAGCCTCTGGACCACCTGCTTTGCTGGCCAAACCTTCTTCCTTGGCACCAGTGTTCAGGGAGTTCAGGCTGTACCACTGCAAACAGAAAAGAGTGTTTAGTATGCCATGCACACAAGTATCTCTTTGCACCAGTTCTTTGGCTTTCCTTTGTTAAAGGCATCAGAAACTCAAAAGCCCTTCAGGACAAACGGGAAACTTCCTTTGAGGTGGTCCAAGCCCCCTGTCAAACCATCTGAAGATTTCTACCAACTTTGTCTCAGTTTTTTTTTGAGGCAGGAGCCAGCAGCAGCACAAGGTCCTGTTTCTTGCTGTGGGAAGCAGCATTATCATGTGCACCACAGCAGATCCTGCTGTACTCACTGAATCCTAATATGGTTGCTGGGCACAGTCATTAATCCTCGCCTTTTACAGAGGGAACTAAGCGAGCCACAGAGGAGGATGAAACACTTTTGAGGAACTCTTCTGAGCAGGATTTCTGTTTCCTTGGGTCCTGCTTAATTAAGGGTAACTGAGGGTAGATGTACAAAGGGTGTTTCATTTGAGCAATACTTTCTTAAGAAGAAAGAGGAGTAATTGACCTGAAGTTTTCACATTTCCCCATAGACCAGATGCAGCAGGACTGATTTCCAGGCACTAAGATCAATGGGAACCGCAGACTGGTACTTCACCAAATCAGGTCACTGTCACCCTCTTTTCCCAGAGGAAGGAAGGGCCCTAAGGCGAGTGTTAAAACCCACCATTTCAGTAGGAAACATTCATCCTGTGTTACTGGTTAAAAGTTTAGGGTTCCTCTTTGGAAACAGATGGAAGAAGCAGGGCTTTCTGTTGGACTAAAGAGATAAAAAGAAGCAAGAGAGTTGCTGTGAAGGTCTTTTGGGTCATTTGTCTTTTTACTTATCCTCATTATCTGTGGTGTGCAGCATGTCAGAGTCCCCTGGTTTGGTGATGCTCTTAGACTCAATTGCAATTTCTGGCTTACAGATACTGCCTTGACCCCTAGTAAAGCAACAGAAGGCTTACCAGGGAATGTAGCCATGTGCAAGACTCCATTCATAAAGAGGTAGTCAGGAAAGTAGAAACTAAGAAATTAGCTCTGGTGTATAATGATTTAACTGTGCATTTTGATAGCACTTGCATTTATGCATCACAAAAGGCTCTAAAAAAATCACTAAACATCTTTCGTTCTTGCACAGAGGAAAATACCATTAGCCATATTTTATAGTTGGGGGAAAGGGAGATGTTACCAAAGGTGAGAGAACTCTCTGGGCTAAAAATGTTCAGCATCCAAGATGAGGAATTAGGACAACTCTCCCTTGACAGCTGCCTAGGGACAGCTGCAGGATAGTCATGAAAAGATATTGCTTCCTCAGTGTGTGACCTTGTCTACTGTTTGTTCAGGTCGTTGTCCTCAGATGGTTTTCTCAGACTGGGTACTAATGACCAGAGTACTTCATCTTATTCTGTTGATGCTGGGCACTGAAGTATATTTCATAATATGGTGAAAAGCTGAGAGTGACACAGGCCGAGTGGGATAGGAGGAGGGGAAGGATAGGAATGAACCTGAGAGAGGGATGAAAACTATATATTATGTATGTGTTACACTGAGTCATTGGCAGAGGAGCTGTGATGGTTATATGTCTCCATTGGAATGGTGTCATTAACAGCTAAGGATGATGTAGTGAATCCTGAGGACAAACAGATGTCTCCTCTAGGAATACCTCAGCTGTTTTTCCTCCAAGAGTCTCCTTCTGAAGGACTTGAAACTTGAAACAGCTCCTCCTCTCATTGTTTCACTCAAGTGAGCTAATTCAGGTGTTTACTTTCACACCAGCTTCCTCAGCTTCAGTGATTACACAGGTCAACATGAGATCCACTAAAACTGTTCTGAGCTGAAGTGTCAGCCAGGTGGAGGGGTGGGCTAATCAAGAGTGGGGCAAAAGCTGTAAGAAATAGTTTCATGGGGCTGCATTGTAAACCAGGGAGAAGCAATCAACTAAAAGTTTTCTAGGGGTGCTCTTAGCCTACACAATCCTCTAATAGAGTCATAACTCTTTATAGCCATTGTGTGGCTGTCCCATTATTTCACATACTGCCTTGTAAGAAAGCGTGTATCTTTCTAAGCCACGCTGTCTTCTCATTCTGGTGGTTGTTCTACATGTATTTTCTTCAAATGCCTCTTGAAGGTCCCTCAAGCAGATTTTTTTCTTCTTTTGCTCCTCAGGGTGCGGGCAGGTTCTTCGGGCTTCTAAAGGTCAGATTTTGCTGGAGGGGTACCCACTGAATGCACGATGTGAATGGACTATTCATGTTCAAGCTGGATTTAACATTGAATTAAGGTAGGTCATACTGACTTTTAGCCAGCAGTGGTTTCAGGTGGATGTTGGGGCATATGGATAATCAAGAGTCAATGAGGGTCAACAGCTGGGAGCACTGGGGCAGTGAAAGTATTGCCACCACTTTTCATTTGGTACCTCAGCGCTATCCGCTGGTCTAGCTTGTAATGGGCAGCCACTGCACAAATCATCAATGTTGTGTCCTCAATTCCTATTTAGGACAGCTGGATGATAAGGTGAGTTTCTCAGATATAGGGCAAAATGTATCTCTCCAGAAGTCTCTTCAAGACCTTGACACCAAAGCACCCAATATTTTCTGAAGAGTGTACAGGGCTGAACAAACACATTCTTTGAAGAAAAGCTGTTGAAACATTTTGGTATGATGTCGCACGCCAGGAGAGAGTTGCCCATTGGGACCTGCCTTGCATTTAGCCTACATTTTCCCTCTCCTATTTTTCTTTCACTCATTTTACCAGCCCTGTCCTCTACCAGCCTCAGTTATTCCTGTTACCATTCCTATCTCTGGAGGATGTAAATGGTTCTCCTGCAAGGCACTGCTCCTCAGACCTGTGTATGCTTAGACCTGTTAACCTGTCCCTGCTGATTCAAGCTCACAGTTCTTGATTGGGTATCCTACATAGTGCAGGAGAGCCACTAGTTGGGGTAATTAGTGCTATTTTCACATGTGTGTAGCAGGGAGCTCACATATGCAGCAGAAAGCTTGGCAGGGGATGGTATTCAAAACCCACTAGCTAATGTAATAAAAACAGTAGTTAAAGTATTTCACCAGCTTCAGAGCCCAGGCAAAAGGACTGTGCTAGATACACAAACAGATTTCTTCCTATATGTTTGAAGAGACACTTAATATTTAATAAGAGGGAGAGAAATCAATTGAATAGAAAAGAAGAGCTTGTGGCATTCCCACACTAACGCCCTTTTTTCAGACTTGCAAATGCAAGCTTATTGTGTAGTTATGAGCAGATGAAATTATTGCCTGCATAGCATTGGAGACATGACTCTATTGAAATGTGTAGGAGACACAGGGTAGCAATGCTGTGAGCAGGAGTTTTGTGTTCTCACGATACAACTTTGCATCAATTTCAGCAGGTATGAGCTGTACCTACCTTGTTTTTAAAAGATATTGTTGTCTAGGTGTATGATTTCTACAGCACAAGCTCAGAGAGGTGGTAACCTGGTATTTTTTACATTTCTGAACAAGGCTTTGTCAATTGTAAGGCTTAACAAGTGCTTCAGGAGCTACAGGTGTCACCCTGTCTTCACTTTTATGGGGGTGGGTGTGAAAGTGAAATGGATTCTGTGCATGTGCATCACTAGTGAATGCATTCATCTCTGGATAGAGAGTTAACAGCCAGGTGGCACCAAGGACAAGGTACAAGAAAGGGAGGGAAGGTTGTTTTGACAAAGGACACTAGGTTGAACAACAGTACTTGCTGTGGCTGCGCTAAGGAGACTATCATCCTTTTTCAAGGCAGGGGAATGGGGAGTGCTGTAAAGTAAGCTAACAGATGTACTAAGCCTTTGGAGAAATCAGACCTCCATTCTAGACCATGGGGGCTACCCACATGCATGCTAGGAAGATGTTAGTGTTATGTAAGATCTGTACAGTTCACTCCATTTACCTTTGCTGTTACCGGAAGATGCAAAACTTTAACATGAGGGGCATCCTGCAGAGAGTGCCTTTTTCTTTCTCCCCATGTCCATCCTTCCTACAGGCAAACAAACACAATACTAGGCATCTCCTTGTTGTGACACAACATTACATTCCAACTGTGGAAGTCTCCAAGAGGGAAGCCTGAGCTACCAACCTTCTGTTGTCAGCAACTACATTTATCTGAGCTGGGTAGTGCTGCAGAAGCCTAAAACCCTTTGCCCAGCCTGAGCCGAGTTTGATGTCTGGGTGCCTAAAGATCCCAGCAGGTGACACAGGCACTTCTGGGGAAAGATCAGGAACTGTCCTGAATGTCCACACTTAATCCTGCCAGCCTGCAACTGAGGAGGGTAGGAAGAAGCCTCCAGGGCAAACACAGACCATGAGGACCTGTATCTACCTCACACAAGGTAACCATGGAGTGTGTTCTGAATCAGTTGAGGGTTTCACGGTGGACCACTGCCGCGATTGAGAGACGGGACACAGCTTGATGCAAGCAAAATGTCTATTTATTGTACACAACCACACGTTTATGTATGTTTTCATTAGCTGCGTGTTTCAAACAGATTGGTTCTTTTAGCTAAACATCGCCTGTTCAGTAACCCCTGGTTGGTTAGTAACAAACAAAAGACACTTTAAGTGCCTTTAACTTTAAGGCACTTTAAGGCACTTTTAACTGCAATCAGCCTTCATTGTACAACTTTGTTACTTCTCCTCTGATACCATCTTCTCCTCTTTTAACATCTTATCTCAGTATGACTCATCAGTCCACATTCCCTCGGTGGTTTTCCATTAACCTCTTTGTCCTCCCAGGTTTTGTGGCCTACAAGTTCCAACACGTCCCGTCTATCAATTGGGCAGCACTCGGGAGTCTTGTCTTTCAGGCCTTGTCCCACAGATCACGTCAAAGCTGGCCATTGATGTACTTCAGCAGTCAGATACTGTAGGAAACCGGTACATTCAGCCTAAAGCTTCTTCTTTAGGCCATTCCTACACAGAAGGGCAGGTACAACTAAGCAGCCCACCAGAACTTTCCTCCTGGGTCTGCTATCCATGCTGAATCATGTCCTTCACCGCATTTTCGCATAAACATGCAGATCCCCTCTGTGGATGCTAATTCTGCTTAGACGTGTAATGCACAGCCAATATTGTGCTGAATCAGCACACCTGCTAACAAAAGAACTCCTTTCTCCATTCTCTGTGCACAAATCCTGTTTGCTGCCACTCCGATGGCTTGCAAGGGCAGGGACGGGGACAGTGTGATACAGAAGAGGAACAAAGTAGTTTGTCTCTTCTTATATAGGGCAGGGAGAGTGAAACTCTCAGGAGCACAAATAAATCTTCCCTTGCTTTAAGTTGTGCCACAGTCCTTTGCGGGTTGGCTAGGCAGAGCTGTTTTGATAAATGGTGCCCAGATTGTGGTGGTAGTTTGTTTCCTCTGCTTTTTTCCAGCCTTGTTTTTGTTTGAGTTGTGATATATAGGCTACCTCAGCCTGAGCCGTGTCAGGAATGTCATACCACAGTAGAAGTAGCTCACAACTTTCAATCATTTTCTTTAATGCCTCAGCAGAGATTCAGTTTTAAATATTTTCCTTTGGCTAGAAGCTTTGCTTAGAGGGGCTGGTGAATGTATTCATACTGCAGACACTGATGAAATCAAAACAATACTTTGCATTCCATTTTGTATCTGATGACCTGTAGCACTAAATTAGTATGCTTAGTTTCATAATACCCAAGAGAATTATGATACAGTTACAGTTTCACAGGTGAGGGAACCGAGGTTCATTACAATGCTTGTACCTGTTACTTAAACAGCAATAGACCTTGTGGTCTGTAAAGGGTCCCATCAACTGGGCCACAGCCAAGAGGTTTTGAAAACCTTTGGCAGGTTTCCTGACCTGCCAATTCTGAGTCTTAATCATACTAAGGTAAATAAAATGCAAATCAGAGCCCTATGTGCCTTTCACATCTTCCACTGTTTTCATAATTTTTTAAAGCAGAGAATTGCTTTTTTTGCTTTTCTCATGCTTTTCTCTACAATTAAAAAATAGTGTTCTGTGTATGGCTCTTTCATTCTGTGCCTCCCCTCTGTGTGAGTATCTCCATATCCTTTGTTCAGCAACACACTGCTAGACAGAGTTTACCATTACATCTATAAATAGTACTGCTCCCATTACATGGTGGGCATCCCAAAAACTTCCTTTCTGTACTTACAGACATACTTAATTTTAATCAGAAATGTACCAATTCAGAGAACCAGTAAATAATTTCAGGATTGAGATAAACTGTAGCCTGATAAATGTGACAAGGATTAATTTGTATTGCTGTATAACAACCATAATGGTAGATCCCTGGGATATGATCTGCCAGTGAAAGAACGTTTTAAAGATGTAATGTATAACATGATGCCTGTGAGGATGTCTCTGGCAAACCTGACAGAACTAGAATTCAACTCATGCATTTTATGCAAAGCTAAGTTGAATTAATCTCTCTCTAATGCATATGAAAAGTAGATGTCATTTTTTTAGTATTCCACATTCCACCAGATGATTTAACAAATGAGGGGCTCTGCTGCATTTGTGTAGCTTCCTACAACTGCTCTTTCATTTCTCTGTATGTAGTGTACTCCTGATGCTCTAAAACCATATGACCTGAACAAAGGTGACTGAGTGAAGAGGCCTCATGAGTTATCAAAGAAAGGTCATTTCATATAACATGGGGGCCTCCTTAACATGGAGGCCTGAGTCCCAAGAATAGAAGAGCAGGAAATAGGCTCCAGTACTTTCTTGCCTCTCCAGATGGTGAGATCCAGCAGCAGATCCAAAATTAGTCTCACCTCTTTGGTGTGAAAATGCAGTCTTTGCAAATCTCTAGGCCCACATTGGAATAGGCAATGTGGGAGAATTAGCCGAATCCTGAATACATGTCTGTACCATTAGGAGTTATAAGGAAGATTGAGTATACAACAAGTTTCATTTATAAAATATTCTGCTGAACAGTTAGTAGCATGGCCTCTCCCAGGTCCACATCTTCTCATTCTTATCTGCTGTACCAAGGCTGCCCCAACACCCCTGGCCAGTGCTCATTCTCCAGAGGTACTTGGTGTTTCTCACTCTGTTTCTCATTCATATTCTGGTGGGATGCTTTGGCTCTGTGCCCCACTGAATTCAAACAGCAACATGTAACATTGCTGTTAACGAACAAGAACCTTGCCCAGTGGCTGGATCAAAGCTAGGAAAGACAGACATTGCGGGAAAAGGCTTTAAATATTTCCCTTCTGCACTATCGCCTTTCCCTTATTTCTGCCCTCTTAAGAAGGGCAAGTGCCAGACATTGGGGATTTGCTACCATTTTCTTTTCTAATGCAAAACATGCAGTGGTGTTTTGGATTCCCTTTCTCTGCCTATTTCTGCTTCTGTTACATCCCTGAGCTTTCCTTGTACCCCTAATTGCTGACTTCAGAACATCACAATGTAAATGACTTTTGAGTCTTGGTCTTTGATACTCTTACTTTCAGTACTTATAACTTTATTTAGGGGAAATAGAACATTTTTTTAGCAAACAGACACGATAGAAATATGCCCCCTACAGTGTCTGACCCTAGATGAAAATTCTAACATTGTAATGTGGTTAGGGACCTGATGCACATGAACAGACTGTATGACTTCAATTTAGACTTTACTGTTCTGCACTTAAATATTATCATGGAGCAACTGTGTAGAGTTGAGCTGGCTTCCAAGGATCATGATGCAAAAATTGAGATAAAATGCAGGGGACTTCATATGGTTAGGGACTTGTTGATTCATTGAGGCACTAACATAACTAAACATCCAAATAAATCAGAGTCAGGGTGCACAGGTGAGAATATGCAGTCTGACTGTGTGTCCTTGTTCCCCAAGATTTTCCATGCTGAGCCTGGAGTTTGACTACATGTGCCAGTATGACTATGTGGAGGTCCGTGATGGGGACAATTTGGACAGTCGAATAATTAAGAAATTTTGTGGAAATGAGAGGCCGCCTCCCATCCGAAGCACTGGGTCTTCACTCCATGTCCTCTTCCAGTCTGATGGATCCAAGAACTTTGATGGATTTCATGCTGTCTTTGAAGAAATTACAGGTAAAATAATCCAAAAGTGGAACATGCCACTCATTAATTCAGTTTCACTAATCTCTTTCCC